AAAATAAGTTTAAGAACTTATTTCTAAATAGCAATAATCTATACACATATATGATGTATAATAATTGAAATGTGACTGTATTTTAAAAAATACTAGTCTACCAAAACACAGCCAAGACAGGTCAGTTTTATATTACTGAATACGGTAACATGAGTGCATGTGAGCCGTGTCATTGTAACTTCTGTATTGTTAGCCAGGCATGGCTGAAAGGTCAATATAATAAAAATAATAAATATATATAAATGTATAATGTTGTGAGATTTAAGCTATTTAGGCTACACATTTATGTTTTTGTGTTATAATCTGTGGTCATTCTAGATTGAAAAATGCATAATTTATATTTATTTCCTAATTTTTTTAATGTGGTTACGAGATCGGTCAAATCGACCAAACCCGTACAGAGATTCGTTATTGAAAATAAAAGATAAAATATAAAGTTTTTTTCTTAAGAAACATTTGATAACTATCTGGACGTTATAAAGATTTTGCATGTGAAAGTTGAAAGTTTTCTGATGCACAAAAGTATTTTTAATCTTAAAATGAAAATTACTTTGCATGTTGGATAGGCAACATGTGAAAAGAAAAAAAAAGGCAGGAGAAAAACACTGCTTTACAAACCTTAACACTTAATAAAAATATTTGATATTTTGCATATGAAAGCACTTTAATGTTTACTGATAATCTGCCAAATTTCGTTAACATACACTTGCTAATTTAAAAGTTCTAGCATGAAAACTATAACAGGCACAAAATGGTTACAAGATCAGTCCCAGGGACCAAGCACGTGCTGAAAGAGTTAAGAAAAGAAACTAAGAAAAAATGTCAATGAGCAGTAACAAATGCCCTATTACCAGTACTGGATTAATGCATAGACCTCCTAGGCCCTGGCCATACAGGGGCCCCACCAGCCACCCAAGTAAAAGAATGATGGCTCGTAAAACTAGAGGAAATAGAGACAAGAGTGAGTTATTATTATTTCCAAATATTGCCTGGGCCTAGATCCCCACTAAACCTTAGTCCAGCCCTGTCTATTCCAAAAACAAATTACTCTTTAATAACCAAAAATGGCCACTGAACAGCAAAACATGAGATTTGAATAGCAAAAAGAGAATGCTTAACAGCAAAAAATAATCCTTAAAAAAAACAAATGGCCCTTGAATAACTAAAAGATGGCCTTTCAACAACAAATCACCCTTTAATAAACAATAATCGTCTTTGAAACAGCAGAAAATGAGGCACGAATAGTAAGAAATGGCTCCTGAACAGCAAGTAAAGATCCTAGAAGATCTTTCAAAGTATCTTAAACTGCTAATGTTTTGATAAACACTTTTTTTTCGTCTAGTTATTGCAAAGATTATTTGGACTAACTTCCAAAACTTTCTGTAAGAATATCGGTACTCACTTGTTGATTTCTGAATTTTTCATTATATACATCCAGTGATTTGAATTTTGAAGCTTCGAGGCATTTGTGATTGCAGTTTGTAGCCCCTGTGCCTACAGAAAGGAATATAGCAATACATTACATTCCAGAGAACCAAGAACCGTATTAAGTTACCAATATTTGTTTTAAATATACAAAGCACCACTACCAAACAAAGAAAATTAAATATATATAAAATTCGTATATGGTAAAACCAACTTCAAAAAAAAATATATACAGTGTCAAAGAGTCGAAAGGAGAATTTCTCTTAGTTGAGAGGAAAAATGAAAAAACTATACGTGTGTCAATTTTTCTGAGATTTTCCTTTTCTGACAGTAAAAAAAACATACCTTTCCAGATGCTTCCCCTAGGGCATCAATTACCTGCTCAAGTTTCTGGATCTCTGATCTGAAAACATATTTTCAAATAATTGATACATGCAAATAAACCCAGTAATGTGCAGTGATTCAGTAATATCGAAAAGGTTTGCATCATTTAATAATTGGTCAAGATAAATCAGATTTTAAGTTACCTTACAATTATATAAAAACAAACTTATATTCAGTCAATCCTTTTCACTTACATGCTTCAAAATAAATGGTATTAAAGTTATTTCAACACCAACATTAGCTTGATGATTAAACAATCACTTCTATTTAGAACATACTGGAAAAATAAAAGTATTCATAAATACACTTGAAGTGTAGGTCAGTTTTTCTCTTTACCAAAGCCTGATCTTTTTAATCCAAGGAAGCATATCGAACCACCATTAATATAAGTTGTGAGAAAAATGAATTACTTACAAAGAATAGAAGCCATAGTGAAAATGTAAAGCTATGGAAAAACCAAACAAAAAATGAACAGAACAATTGTAGAGCATCCAAAATAACCAAACAAAAATTAAAGTTATGTCATACAAAAAAAGATGTTAGTGGCAAACTGGCCTATCAAAGATAATAACAGAAAAAAAAAGATGAAAAGCTAGAACTGAAATGACAAATTTCATACAACTCCATAAAATAACGTACAACCCCTGCAAAAAAAGATATCAGTTAAAAACTGGTCTATGAAAGATAATAGCAGAAAAAAAAAGAAGAAAAAGCTAGAACTGAAATGACAAATTTTATACAACTCCATAAAATAACATACAACCCCTGCAAAAAGAGATATCAGTTACAAACTGGCCTATCAAAGATAATAGCAGAAAAACTAAGAATAAAAGCTAGAACTGAAATGACAAATTTCATACAACTCCATAAAATAACGTACAACCCCTGCAAAAAGAGATATCAGTTACAAACTGGCCTATCAAAGATAATAGCAGAAAAAAAAAGAGGAAAAGATAGAACTGAAATGACAAATTTCATACAACTCCATAAAATAACGTACAACCCCTGCAAAAAAAGATATCAGTTACAAACTGGCCTATCAAAGATAATAGCAGAACATTAAAAACAGAGAAGATAACAACAAAAACTGGTTCAAAAATCAAATGACCCATCTGAAATAAAACCATAAAATAATATATATAACTCATACAAAAAAAACTTTAGTTGCAGGCTGACATCTATAATAACATTAGGAAATTAAAAGGACATCAAAAAACAAAATTTAAAGATAAAATGATACATGTGAGATAATACCACTAAATAATAGAAATGCCATAAAAAAAACTGTTTAAACATAAGCTACAAAAAATCCGAAGAAGAATATTTACAATTCTATTAAATCATTAGGTGGGGGCGCTCAGTCAGGGTATTTTTAGCTGAAACGTTTGTGAGCCCCTGACCTAACTTAAATCAAGAAAGCTTGATAAATCAATTAAAAAAACAGAAATAAACATAAAAACGAGTAAAAGGTTTTTAAAGGGAATGGCAACTGAAATAGAAATGCAGTGGAACCAGAGATAAAAAATGGAAATACAAAACATTCCAGGTTTCACACTACTTGAAACTAATTCACACTTTTTAAAAAATATGTTCAAGTAGTATAAAACCTTTAAAAAAGTGTGATTTTTTTAAAAATATTAGAAACACAAAATACAGAAATACAAATTTAAAATAAACTACAATCTGAGTGAAAACCTAATAATAGCCAAAGAGTAATAACTGAAGTGTGAATAAACAACTCGATACAAAGAAAGAAATTATCAAAAAAGGACTATATATTTGTATATGTTACATCTGGCAACAACAGAAAATCAAGACCAAAAAACCAAGAACTAGCGGAGTCTACACCAAAGTTGCAGAAAAAACAAGTTCAATAATGGGTGCTACTATTGCGTGCCGTCTACAAAGATATTTACACAGACACTATTATCATCACCGTTTTAATGATTCACTAAAATATAATTTTTTGCTAAATAATTTATCTATCCACGTTTTTGTTCAGCAAATAATAGTAATGATTTAATAAGTTATGTGTTCCAAAAGAGTACCTTAAATTTAGGTTATAATTGTGTTAGTTTTGATTGTTAGAACTTATTTCATTCCGATTATATTTGCCCCCAAAACGTTATGTAATGGTATTTTGTACTTTGTTAGTTTTAAAGCGTTATTTGGAAAAAAATGGTGCTAATTGTAAATAAATGAAAGTTAAAACAGTGATGATGATGATAGTATCTGTGTAGACAGCACGCTATAGTGTAAATATCTTTGTAGACGGCATGCTATAGTTGCACCGAATAATGCTTGAAACATAAAAAATACTAAGAATGAGGTAAAAAATCAAATGTTTCAATAACGTATGTTATTTCAAGAAATAAAAAAAGAAATATCTATATAGGAGTTACTATCGATTGCTGAAAATTAATAGCCGGAAATAAAGCAATAGGCAAGTTGTGTCTCAAAAAAATTTCATGAACAGAGTTAACCAGTACTTTGGTTAATAAAAAAAAATTAAGCAGTTGAAGTTGTATACAGAAAGTGTTTTCCAAAGTTATATCTTACTTCAGATGGTTAGAATACTCATTGTGCATCTTTGATTAAAACTGAGATAAGGAAAAACAGCTCAAACAACAGTCTTTGAAAACAAAAAAAAGGTGAAAAATTAACCTGATCATTGCTATCCTGATAAAGATTTACTCTGGTGTTTTAAACCACTCTTATGTGACAATAAAACATGAAAAGCTAACCTTCCATTTGATAGTTTGTTGTGAGAACTGGTTTCCCCTTTACAGTTACTGAATATTTCTTGAACATTGTCATTATGATCTGGTGTAACCGAAGCTACAGGCTCCACTTCAAGATGACAATTTACTTTGGATATTAAAGTCGGAAATAAAGAGTGAACGGCGAAGGTAAATTCCATTGGTCTATAAGCTGCAAACAAGACACCTTCCTCCAAAGAGAATTATTTCACGACTCTCAAAAATTCTTGTAGTTGTAATTGTCAGCACTTTTAAAGTTGTTTCTCTAAAAAATCTTCATTTCTAAGCATGATCACAGCTCATTTGGTATATTATGTTTGATACAGTTCTCCCAGCTCCAGAAAAATGATCATCTAAAGAACATACGGGCACATAGATTAGTATGCATATTACACTTATAAGCTTATTTGTCAGAATTGCAAACATTTGAAATAATAAAAATTATAAAACCAAAAATGATTGAAATATTCTTAACTCATAACAAAAATTAAGGTTTTTACATAAACATAAAATTTATGGACAGCAAGGGACCTGTTGGTTCATCTAGGCTGTCCCATCCACCAAACTAAACTTAAAAAACAAGAACCCAAAGCCAACCTTTGACATTTAAATTGCCTTTCCTTACATTTATTGCATCCACTACATCTAGAAGCAATCCATCTCAAATGCCAACCACCCTGTTAGAAAAATAAAACTGTCTTAGCTAAAAATGACTCCTACCCTGCCCAGATTTATATTTGTATCCCCTAGTCCTATCATTCTCACCATTAACTAAGTAGAGTAAAAGATGATGTACAAACACTATCAATTCCCTTAATAACCTTAAACACTTCAATAAAGTCATCTCTATCTCTTCTTTTTCTTCAAGAGAAAACAACCTGTCTTCTCATGGCACCCTTTCCATCTCAGATACCATCCTAGTAGTCCTCCTCTGAATCCTTTCCAACAACTCAATGTTCTTTCTATGATAAGAAGACTAAACCCAATACTCCAAATGAGGCCTAAGAAGTGACCTATACAATTAAGTTATAACACCTTTAAACTTATGTTCAATATTTGTCAGATACAACCTAAAGTAATATTTGCTGTACCATTAACAACATCAAACTGCTTGGATGATTTATAAGTCTGATCAACCACTACATAAAGATCATATCCTTTCATAACACTGTTAAGGTTATTCCCATCAAAATTGCACCCATAATTAAAACTGTGATATTTCACATGTATTACCTTGCATTTATTATAATTAAAAGCCACCTTCCATTTATTCATCCAACTCACCAAATAACATAAATCCTTTTGAAAATCAGCAGAATTCATCTCACAACCAGCAACACTCAAGACCTTAATATCACCAGCAAATTTAAACAACTTATTGACCATTCCTTCATCTACATCATTGACATAAATAAAAAAGATCAAAGGTCCTAACACTGAGCCCTGAGATGACACTCTTGTGACATTAATCCACTTATAAAATCCCTTTGTTTTCTTCCCTCCAGCTTGTTTTCGATCCTATGAGTCAACTGAGTTAACAGGCTCAGAATTAATGTGATTATCTTGTTCGATCTTGTTTCCATGTTATTTATAAGACATTTTATACATACATATATATATATATATAAATATACAATAATGTTTAAAAATGTTTTAAAATTTATTACAAACCATAATCTACGCCTAAAGGAAGCAGTTATAAAACACACACAATGCAACGAACTCTACAGAACTTTGATAGTGTTACAGTCTTTAGATTTTACTGTAATATGTTTGCTTAGTTAACATAGTTTTATACTATCATACATGCAAAAATTCCAAACTCTTGTACTTTATAATTTTAGCCTTTGCTTTCACTATCTTGAATAAAATAAAGTGACTCATTGTATACTGTGAATGATTTAATTATTGGGCTTGTATATGCCATAACAGTATCTTGCCACTTAACCATATACAGACAAATCTATATGCAATAAGCAAAATTTTGCTAAATAACTAATATACCTTCTGGATACATTAAGGTCATGTAAGGTACCTAATCTACTTACATACTCATACCAAAATTCCATCATGAATATAAACGATGGGACTGCAGTCTACGTAATAACTATATTCTTTACAGTAGAGCTTTAAACGTGTAAAATTAACATACAAACATCAGTTGTTCTGGCAAATATAAAAGTATGTAATAAAACATTTTCTTTATCTTAATATCATAACTGAATAGTTATTCAAGTAACAAACACATCTGTTTTTAGTTTTGCACCATGAAATGTCCTCAATGTCTGAAGTTCAACCATTCAGCATTAAGTGTAGGCCTAATAAGAGGTTTAATTGGCATACTCTTAATACTTAAGGTGTTTCTTAACTTTCCATATAACTAAAGTGTTGAGGTTTGAAATTTCACAAAGTTTATGAGCCACATTTCAATTTATCTACTCATACAAGTTGATAAGTCAAATCTGCTTAAATCTACTGATCTTTTAGCTTAGTAAATAATAGAAAATTACTGACGACATGAATGCATTATTTTATAATATACTTTAGTAACTATTTTTATAATGATAGTTTTGTTCAAATGAACATTATGTAATAAAGTAAATGCACTATAAATTACAATCTACTTACACAAAAAACAAACAAACTTGAGACGGGTACATTTGTGTAAAATAGGCCAGAATCTGCTTACACTAAAAACAAACAAACTTGAGACAGGTACATTTTTGTAAAATAAGCCAGAATCTGCTTACACTAAAAACAAACAAACTTGAGACAGGTACATTTGTGTAAAATAGGCCAGAATCTGCTTACACTAAAAACAAACAAACTTGAGACGGGTACATTTGTGTAAAATAGGCCAGAATCTGCTTACACTAAAAACAAACAAACTTGAGACGGGTACATTTGTGTAAAATAGGCCAGAATCTGCTTACACTAAAAACAAACAAACTTGAGATGGGTACATTTGTGTAAAATAGGCCAGAATCTGCTTACACTAAAAACAAACAAACTTGAGATGGGTACATTTGTGTAAAATAGGTCAGAATCTGCTTACACTAAAAACAAACAAACTTGAGACAGATATATCTTTGTAAAATAGGCCAGAATCTGCTTATACTAAAAACAAACAAACTTGACACAGGTACATTTGTGTAAAATAGATCAGAATCTGTCCATATCGACAGAAAAAATAAGAATTGTTAACAACACTCCTTTCATTATACATTCTTATTATCTAAGAATGAACATGCAATCTAGAGTTTGCTATAACCTGCAGTGAAACCAAATCCAAACCAACCAAGTATTTGGGAAAGACAATTTGATATTTTAAACAGCAATTTAAGAAGAAACGACACGTTCATTTACCAATAAATGTTTTATGTATTCTTCAAGGATTGAGATGAAGATATTTACTCTCAACTATTACTGTAATTGGAAAATGTATATAATTATTATCAAAATAACTTACACAAACTAACGCTAATTAATTAACATACTTAAGCTTAATACTAACAACGTAGTAATCAGTAATACTTGAAGTAAAAGTCAAAACTAAAGCGTTCTATATTTGCACTGGAAGTCCACATGTTATGGACACTACGTGTCCGATACATACAGATAAAAACACCGAATATCGGTATCACATACACTGTTTTTGTTTTACTTCTTATATACTGTTAGTGTTACAACTTACACTAATTTACTTAGGCAATATTTACGTCTCCAAACCATTATCGATACGTCTCAAACAAAAAGATTATTTCAAAATAGCATTTCGATAACTTCGTTCCTACAAACTTCGAATTAAGGTATATTCAAAGTTATTATAAGATACTTGGGCTATTAGTCATCACCTGTGGAAACGTTTTCGCGTAGTTAAGGCTCCATAGCTGTTGCTGTGGTTTTTTAACGCCCTCTGTAGTGTTGATATTCCTCGTACTCTGAAAAAACAACAAAAAAAAACTGTTTTCTTGTGCTCAGTATGAAATTCAAAAGCGGTGAAACAGAATTCTGAGTGATTTATCTTTTACATGAAACTTACTCAAATTCAACTTCATGAGAGGATTTTCAGTGGTACGATTACTACAGTTTGAAAATCATTTTTCTAGTCTATCAATTAATAATTAGAGACAGCTATGCGCAAAACGTGTGTGGTAGTTTTCATGCCCTTCGCTTGAATTTTCCTTATTCTATCCTTTTCACACACGCCATTTAAGCTAAATTTTCTTAGCAGGCATTATGTGTTAAATCCATAAATCCTGGTCTATTTGAAAAAAATTACGCCGTCAACAAACTTTATTTAATAAAATTACACGTACTTATCTTTATCTGATAAAACTACACGTAAAATAAACAATAAAGTATAGTAATGGTATTTATAATGGTGTACAGAGTATGAAACAGTTGTGAGCGTTCAGTGTATGAAACGGTTTTACAAGATGAAACAAAGAAACTCACAAAAACGAAGAATAAAAATCGTAGTAAAGAAAAAGTAACTAAAAGTTGTTTATAGCAGTATATAAAACAAACCGATGCTTAGTTATTGTAAACTAAAGTAAATATAAAGCTATAATGAAGGCAAACTTAGCTGATATGCAGAAATAATAATGGCTGGAGACGGCTTGAATGGGTAATGAAGAAAAACTTTAATATAAGTTTAACATAACAGCAAATGTACAACGTTTCGACAAGGTTTTGTCATCATCAGACAAATGATGTAAGAAACAGTCAGATTCTCATTTCCAAAGAACTACACTCTAAAGATAATTATATAATTAAAACAGTTTCGTAAGGTTACAATTTTTCAAAGTTATTTCTAAAATCAGGCCCGGCATGGCCAGGTGGTTAGGGCGCTCGAATCGCAATCTGCGGGTCGCGGGTTCGAATCCCCGTCACACCAAACGTGTTCGCCCTTTCAGCCGTGGGGGCGTTATAATGTGACGGTCAATCCCACTATTCGTTGGTAAAAGAGTAGCCCAAGAGCTGGCGGTGGGTGGTGATGACTAGCTGCCTTCCCTCTAGTCTTACACTGCTAAATTAGGGACGGCTAGCGCAGATAGCCCTCGTGTAGCTTTGCGCGAAATTCAAAACAAAAACAAATTTCTAATATCACATGTTTTATTTTGAAAGGGTTTCATATTTTGAATAGTTCCATGTCAAAAAATATTTTTTTCTGTATGTTAGAGTGTTATAGAACCCGTAATTGTGTTGTTACCTTAATTATCAAAACATTTATCATCATACCTGGGTTTATTAACACCGTTATTTTTTTAGAGTCAGCGGTAAGTTTACGGTCTTACAACGCTAAAATCAGAGATTCAATTCCCCGGCGATGGACAGAGTGCAGATGGAGCATTGTCTTACAGTGACAACAAATCTAACATTTCTGTTTTCTCCGGATATTACTTCAAAATTAGGGACGACTATAGCGCAGATAGCCTTCGTGCAGTTTTTCACAATATACGACAATCTTCTCAAATAAGTACGAGTCCATTTTACTGTGTAGCGGTTGGTTTAAATTGCATGTAGATCGGGGTGTTTATGTAGCCATCGGATATAACTGCAACTAATGAATAAAATATTTTGTATGTGAGAAGAACAACGCCATCTGTTGGCTATTCTTTCAAATACCGGTAATGTTACCAACGGTGTGTTTTTGTTGCTGTTGTTTTCTTTTCTCTGGAAAACTTCGTGGAATACAACCCACCACCGACTCGGGGGCTAGTCTTGTCGGATCACTACCCTTATAACACACCCATAGCCCAAAATTGCGGATGTTATGGCCGGATGTCATGGAAGACTTGAGAGTTCTTTTCACAAGTATGGAACCATTTCAGTTGTTCAGGTGTACTTACCATATATTTTCACATTTTACTGTAGGCTCACTCATGTAAATCATGCTAGTACAAAAGAGAACTATTTAAAATTCTGAACCCGTTTCTTGTGTTTCAGCACGCTACTACTACCTGTCCAGAAGCGTTGACATATCTAGAATGTTTATTTTAAATATCCAACAAAACGGTATGAACAAATATTCCAAACGAGTGAAACATAATGATATCTAATTATAATTGTCATACGACATTAGTATCAGGCCTATTATATTTTTAAACACCGTATTCTTTATCTAGTCCTACAGGAATAGTCGATAATTAGGAGAGTGTATGAGAATAATATTCCAACCACGTTACGTTCGTTGTACCCCTTGCCGACGACACGTTTCGCTCAATTCAGAGTACAGGCAGTGTTAAAAATATAGTAAGCCTAATGCTAACGTCGTATGAGAAGTATAATTAATTAAAACTACTGTAGTTTTTTTTTCTGTTTACATACA